TCTCTCTCTCTCTCTCTCTCTCTGCTCTCCTTGGGTGTTATCAGCCTGTTTATGTAATGCCTGTCACCTGCTCCCTTTATAAGATATCCTAATTGAAGGTCTTCTCATAATGTCAGTATGAATGAACTCAGACTATTTAAAGCACCACAGTCGATTAGGAAGGATCGCATGTTTGAAAGTGTCTAGTTTCAGAGCTCAATTAAAGTGGAATTTGGTCTAGATAAGAGAGACAAGTGGGGGATGATGAAGAAGTTCAATAACGTGAAACTCTTTGTGACAGTTCATATAGAGGGTTGGAGCTTGAGAAATGGTGTCAGTTCAGAGACGTGCAAGTTTAATACCAAATCTCCAGTTTAATACCTTGACATTTCAAGAAGCCGTTACACAGAATTTCAGGGAGCTACTTTTCCGGTTGTGAAGACACAGCTAACTGCTAGCCAAAGAGCCCAGCACAGTGGTTGGCACAGGATGCCCTCCACTGATTTTTATTAAATAAAAGAAGGGTTATGATGAGGTGGTTGCTTTATATAGGCTGGCAGCAATCTACAAAGTAGAGGAAAGGGCTAACTTGACTCCTCTGCCTCTGGCCTACTTGAAGCCAGCATCAATTTCGTTGAAATACAGCAACAGCCTGCTGGCTGATCTTGCCGTCTGTAGCTGTCTCCCCAGTATTCAGTCCACACAGCTGCCCGAAGGACTTAATGCAAACATCTGATCATGACCCAACCCTGCATGAAACCACTCAATGCCTCCCTGTTGTCATCAAAATAAAACTTAAGTTCCTCAGCTGCACACAAGGAAGGCCCTCCATGATTTGGTCCCTGATTTTTCCAGCTTCATTTCCCATGCTCTGCACATAGGCCCCTTGATGGAGCCAAAACAAATGACTTGCCATTCATCTGCCACTATACCATTCTAGTTCACATGCCCATGCTTTCTGTACATGCTCTCCTGCTACCTAGCATTTCATCCCCTCCATCATCTACCTGCTTAATCAAATGCCTCAAGACACAGCCTAAGCTTGACCTCAGGAAAGCCAACCCTAATGCCCAGCGCCTCCTTCTTCAGCGTCTACTCTATTCTGTGCCTCCCTCGATCATGCACTTATCACAACATCATTGCACAACTGCAAGTCCATCCCCTACACTGTGAGCCCTTGAGGAAAAATAATGGATTTTTTTCAGCTCTGTATCTTCAGTCTCTGTACTTTTAGTACGTTCAGGTAGGTACTCATTCACTTGTGGAATGAATGTTCTCCCTCATTCCACCATTCTCCTCAGGCTACATGTTGCCTCATTCCAACTTTTCCCTCTCTTCCCCTCCCCCCACCCTCAGAGTGGCAGCCCCAAGCACATTTTAGCCAATGGTTCAGCCTGGTATCCCACCTTATGGGCAGCAGACTTGACTGCCTCTCCCAATTCTCTGATTGGCAGAAATGGTAAAAAGGTAAGCAGCACCAAGAAAATCAAGGAGCCAGGGTAAATCACAAAATTACTGATAAAAGTGGGGATAATTTTTAGAGCCCAACTCAGCCCCACCCCTAGATTCCCATCCAGTCTGGGTGGGGCCCGGGAATCTATGTTTTAAGAACTCCCCAGGCCTTTCAATTGGCCAATCAGCTTTGGGAAGCACTCATCTGTAATTAGCCCTATGCTATTTTGCCTATGAGAATAGCATCTGCTTTCCATTCTAATTCCTGGAGGACAGAGCCTGGAGTCTATTTAATTTGTTACTGTATAACTTGCCTTGTGCTTGGTGAATAACTTGGGGCTGATTGATAAACCAATAGGTTTATGGTTGTGACTTCATTCACGGAGAAGTTTTTAATGGCTAAGAAGCAAAGTGCCACTGATGTCACATTCTAAAGAACATCTCAGGCCACCTCTGTCCATGCAGGACTGCCAGAGTCAATCTAGTAGGTTCCTCTGTACCCAAAATGCAATAGCTTGCCCCCCCCACCAGCTCCTGCAAATGTTTATGATTGCCAAAAACAGATAATAGCCTAGGGAGGAAGTTCCAATCTACAAGTAGTAACTTGTGTGAATCTCTGAAGACACCAGCTATAAAATATTTGGGGACATAAGCCATTATCATTAATAACATCATTCACTATAACTATTTTGTCTGGCATGGTCATATGGGGCAAGAAACCCAAGCATGAGCACAAGCAGGTGCCCTAAATGAGGGCATTTAAAGCAGTTTCTCTCAAACCCGGCTATACATTTCAATCATCTGGGGAGCTTTAAAAGAAAATGCTGCCTGAGCCCCGCCCCAGATCTATGGCATCAAACTCTCAGAGAATGAGGCCTAATGTCATAGGTTTTAAAAGCTCCACAGGTGATCCTGAAGCATAGTCAGTACTGAGAGCCAAAAATCAGAATCACCTGAAGAGCTTTCACACCAACTGATCTGGGACCTGAAGGTTCAGATATTTTGGCCTGGAGAAGGCCCAGGGAATCAAAATCTTAACAAGCGCACCAGATGATGCTGAGACACAACAGGCATGAATTTTACTGCTCTTTAAGGCAGTGGGTCTCAAAATGTAAGGTGCAGAAGAATCACCTGGGGATTTTGTTAAATGTAGGAGTTTGCTAAACATACAGATGCTTGGGTCCCAAGCCTAGAGATTCTGATTCATTTCGTACAGGGTAGGGCTTAACAATCACCCACATGTAACTCTAAAGCAGACAGTCCCCAAACTATGCTTTATGCAACACTCTGCTAGGGATATAGAAATGGATTCATCTCAGTACCTGTCCTCAGAGTGTTTATAAATTAATAGAGGAAATAAGAGAAATGTAAATTTTCAGGGGACAACTTCTGGTGGCATCTAGAGTTTGCCAACAGTACATTGAATTATTGAAGAAATGGTAAGGTTTCAAGTAAAAAGAAAAAAAAATGGGGAAAGATAAAGCTTGCACTGATACTGAAAACAAGATTTTAAAATTACCTTTAGAGTTTTAACCTCTTCACTTACTATTTTTAAGTAGTCTAATACAGACATAACAAATAACACATCAAAGCTGTGACTGAAAATTATATGTTCTGTGAAAGCTATAATTAAAAATAAATCATTGACTAACATAAAAACAGAAGAGGACATTATGAGATGACATTAAAATGTAATAATATGTACATATACACACATATAGGGAGACATGTATACATGCAAATGTGTGTATAATCATACATTTCCAAAGATCTGAAAGCATCCTATTAACTTGTCAGCTAAACGACTTATTCTGACAATCCTATGGAAAATGTTCCAGGTAGATTTGAAACTATAAATAAGAAGCTACTGATTCTGGTCTTAGAACTCCCAGGTATGAGTGTAGAGAATCTATAAAATCATTTTGCTACTAATATGGGCAGAGAGCTGGGCCAGAACGGTCAGTTCAACAGACTGGAATGTGTCTATGGACTGTCATGCTGAACCACATTTCTCTGGGGGCTGAGTGAGGGGTGGAATGCCCTGTGGGATTGTATGGTCTGGCCATAGCCTTGAAAGGGCAAAGGTATCTGAGTTTGGCATGGTTTCTCGGAGGAGATAGGAGGAAGAAGACTTCATACGCTCATCCACAGTAACAGGCACCATAAACATTTACTGAACACCTACTGTGCATAAGGGAATGCAGAGCCCCTCCCTCACAGAGCTTAGATTTTAGCTGGGGAGACAGGACATGCACAGAATGAGGTGAAGGGCCAGTTTAACAGGTCACGTGTTCAAAAAGAGAGCGAAGTGAGAGCTGGACTGGTCAGAGAAGCTTCCTAAAGTAAGTGGTACTTGAGCTGGGCCTTGAAGAAAGGATGCGAGAGAAGAGCGTCCTGTTCATTCATTCATTCACTCATCAAATTCATTCAACAAATATTTATTGAGCACCTGTGTGCCAACCTCTGTGCTTGGCATTATGTATATAACAGTAAGTAAAACTGAAGGGATTCCTATCCTGTTGCAGTTTATAACCCAGATAAATAAATCATAGAATTTATAACACTGTAATATGTGCTGTGATGGTGGCAAGCCCAGAAGAAAGTGGGGGATGGTGGTGTGAGTTAGAGAAAACTTTCTAGAAGGAACAAGATCTAAATTGATATTTAAAAAACAAAATAGGTGTTAACCAAGCAGAGAGTAGTGGAAGAGTGTTCTAACCAGCAGGAATAGCATCTTGTGAAGGCCCAGGGCAAGAAAGAGCATGACAATCATGTGGAGTGGGGGGTAGAGAGGCACATGAATCAAGAAGCATAGGGAGGAAGAGACTGGGTACCAGGGACCCTGGACACCAGTCAGGGAGGAGATGGATCTGGCAGGTTAGGAGGCAAAGGAGTCTGTATTCTACCTTCGGAGCAGTGGGTACTCACGGAAGGTTACTGAGCCAGGAGAGGGTAGCATGAGCAAAGTGCGGTTTAGGAGGATGGATTGGCGAGCATGAGCCAGATGGCAGGATACATTCGTAGGATTCCTCAGGGCAGGCTCTAGTCAAAGTTCAGATCATCGTTTAACAAATTCATCTAACTATATCCCCATTTTGTTGTTGCTTCTCCTCTCTTCCCCCATGTATAGTACTCCCCAGTAGGACGGGCGGTAGTATGAAACCTGAACTGACCACACTCCTCCTGGATGATTATGAAGTTTCCGTCTATGATCTGAATGGAGACAGGAATGGCCGAGAAATCTGGCCAAGCTACTACGCGCAGGCACATGGACTTGTTTTTGTCCTGGATTCCAGTGACTTAAGCCGCATGCAGGAAGTGAAGGTCATCTTACCACACCTGCTGTCTGATGAAAGAGTGGCCGGGAAACCCATCCTATTGTAAGAGTCTGCCTTTGTGTCCAATTTCCCCTTCCCATTTTGTGCCTTTAGAAGAAGTAGACAGAGGAAGGGTTAAGTGGTCCCTGTGTCACATCCAGTTAGACTTCCTCTCCTCTTTGGCTGAGGGGGAGTGGCCCAGTCCTCTGGGGGCTGTTTTCAAGAGCCACTTTCTACCAGGCACTGCCATGGGGGAACCTGTTACCTAACTGTGCAAAGGTAATTTTGAAGGCAAGCATCAGAGGGAAATGGAGAGTAATATCTGGATCTTCCACTGCACCCCCCGCCCCAACCCATCCCTCGACTCTTCCTGAAGACTGCCTTCCTAAATTTGCTTCTTTTTTCTGGCTTCGGTCTTTGACCCTGAGATGATGGCAGAAAACCCCTATTTTGTATATTCAGTGCCAATGGTCTCCTCCCCTGGTAAACTGCCCGAGAGTTATGTAACTAACTCTTACCCCAGGGTGATGATTCAGGTGGCCAGTCAATCCTCACCCCTCCCCCACTCCCTTTTAGCCTTTTTTGTTCCCCATTAGGACCACCAACCCAAGCGTGGACAGAGTTTGGGGGAGGATGTAGAAGCGCCAAATTCGTTCGTATCCCAATTAGCAATTCTAATTAAAGTTTGATGGTGCAGTGTAGAGGAAGTGAGAAATGAGGCCTGGGGATTATCTCGGATTCAAATTACTTGTGCTATTCTTTCCTCCACTGAGAGTTGGCTAGAAAAATGTCGGGCTCACCGCACTGGGTATGGCTTAAAAGCTAGTCCCTGGATATGTAGCAGCTGTACCAGAATTGGTTGTCCCCCTCTTTCCCTTCTTTTCTTTCCCTTGGCCTCTATCTCAGTTTTACTCTTCCTCTCTTCTTCCCTCCCTCTCTCCAATGCCCGGCTTTAGCCTGGCCAACAAGCAAGACAAGAAGGACGCCTTGCTACTTCGTGATATTACTGAATATCTGCTGCTGGAAAGGCTAACAAACAAGAACCAGTCCCTGTGCCGAGTAGTAAGTGTCTAGCCCTCCCCTCCCTTGTCCTCTCAAGCAAGGCCGATGCCTCCCTTGGCCCATAATCAGCCTCCTATGCCGGGTCTTAGGCAGAGCCTCTCTTTGCCAGGCAACAACTACAGTGATGATTTCTGACTCAACAGTGATAATAAATATCACACTCTTACAACACTTTCACATCTGTTTTCTCATTAGGCCTGCAAAATAGCTCTTTAAAGTTGGAAGTTTCAATAGCTTCATTTTATGGTTAAGAAAGTTAAGGCTCAGAGACTCTGAGTGACTTGTCCGAGATCACACATCCAAGACGTTACACTTGATTAAAGGATCTTAGCTTTTGTACCTTTCATATACCTTCTCAGGAGTGAATGCTGAGAATCTCCTAGGAAGTCTTAAGAGCCTCTCTAGGCACAGCAGAGCTTATGTGCACCTGTGCTCTTTGGCTGAGGGTGACTGGGACTGTGAGCCCCAGGGGTCCCAGGTTGCTGGGCTGGAGCCTTCTCTTTTTGTCACAGGAGCCCTGTTCAGCCATCAAAAACCGCCAGAGAAGGAACCATGAGCCTATAATTGGAGGCCTGCGCTGGCTGTTATCTGCCATTGGGGATAAATATGAAGAGCTGTGTGCTCACCAACAGCCACTCCCATCGAGCATCCCAGCCCCCAAGAGCACCAGAGGCTTTGGGGAAATATGCTCATCAGACAGGTACCAAGCTGTCTCTATTAGGTGTACTGATAAGAATAGATGAAAAAGGGCTTCCCTGGTGGCACAGTGGTTGAGAGTCCGCCTGCCGATGCAGGGGACACGGGTTCGTGTCCCGGTCCGGGAAGATCCCACGTGCCTCGGAGCGGCTAGGCCCGTGAGCCATGGCCACTGAGCCTGCGCATCCCGAGCCTGTGCTCTGCAACGGGAGAGGCCACAACAGTGAGAGGCCCGCGTACCGCAAAAAAAAAAAAAAAAAAAAAAAAAAAAAGAATAGATGCAAAAGTCAGTCTTCAACCTAAGCAGTGAGTTCTGGGAGGGGCATGGATTCTGTGCGGTGCTGAGCAAGTCTCTCAAGATCAGTTGGCCCAAATGGGGCGAGGGCAGTGACCACAAACATACCAACATTGTTAGGTACACCCTCCCCTCGGCACAATTTGAGTGGTCACGTCAGTGGGATAAGTTAAGTCATCAGTATTACATTGTCTCCAAAACAGGGTTTCAATTCCCTGGTTTGTCACAGAGAGGAGAAAAGGAGCACGAGCCCCTTAAGGAGCTTATTGGCAATATTCTATGGCTAAATACCCTGGAGGTGCCCCACATTCTCCGCTTCCTGTTCTCTAATCATCCCAATGATAAGGAAAGATGGGAGGGAACAGGAATATGGAAAAGAAGAAGAAAAATAAAGAAAACGGGGTGATCAAGGTTTTGAGGAATAAAAGGACTAAATGTCCTCTTGTTCTGTTGTCCCTTTAATTGTTCCAAAGACATATGGCAGGGATGGGGGGACAGCTGGATTTGATTAAGGAGCTTGCATCTGTTTTCACTATGGCTTTGTCCTTTCTATCTTCCCCAGCTTCACTACCAGGATGGGAAAGTCCGAAGAAAAAAGACAGCACCTAGGACAACACTCAATGGAACCTAGGCCTCTAAAGCCAATCCTACAGGTAAGTGGCTCACTAAATGTTATTGCCCCAGGGACCAATCCCTGAGCTCTCGGGCACCAACTGACTTTTTTTTCCTTCATCTTCCTGCTATACAGAAAGAAGGTATAACAAGACCTAAAAAGAACACATCAGTAACATTTGCTTTAGACGAACCCAAGGAGGAGGATGAATGTTATGGGGGAAATGGAGCTTGTAACACCACTGAGCCTGGCTACAATCAGAGCCCCCAGCTCCATATGCTGAGAAAGCTTTTTGAAGGTAATCCTGGATCAGTGGTTAGTCAGAGAAGAAAAGATATAAAGGCTTTTCCTCACAATTTATAAAACAGTATTCGTATTTTGAGTCCAAAACTCTTTTCTCATACTATGGTTGGTGGTCAGAAGAAAGATATGTAGATGAAGTGCTTGGGGATCACCCTCTGGCCGTCCAGTATGATGCCCCAAGATCTTTGTTTGGATGGCTATAAGGTTATCTTAAAGGTTATGATTTCCAGTGGTGGAAGTACAAATTGGTACAACCTTTAGGGAGAGTAGTTTGGTTGTATGTCTCCCTCCTACTCTCCCTCTCTCTCTCAATAGATATATATCGAGAACTTTAAAACTGTGGAAACCCTATGAACCAATCATCTCATGTCTTGAACTGAAGCCAAAGATAATTACACAAGTACACAAAAAGGATGCTCATGGTTGCTCAATCATAGCATTGTGTATAACAGCTAAAAGTTGGAAACAAGCTAAATGCCTAACAATAGTGAACGGCTAAATCAATTATGGTGCACCCACACAATGGAATACTATGCAGACCTTAAAAGGGCTAATGTTGACTTATATTTACTGACATGGAAAGTTTTCCACAACCCAAAGTTTTGTTAGAGAAAATGGCAATTGAGAGCACAGCACATACAGCATGATGTGTACACATGCATAGAACATCTGGAGGGGAATCACCGAACACAAGCAGTGGTTTTCTCTAGGGGTAAGATTCTAGGTGATTTTGAGAAGAGCCAAGGTACCTTTCTTTGGATTTTTGTTATTACTGGAAATTTTTTTAATAATCATATATGATTTCTCCCAATATACTAAAGGCACTAAAAAAATCTGTGATGACTTAAAGGCCCATTGTTGTTAATGTCTTCTCCATCTCAGTGTTCCTTGGCCCCAGTCTCCATGACAATAAACTGTCAATATTATAATGTCACTTCTGCTCTCCAAAGGATCTGGCCCTTCAGGCTACCCCAGAGCCTTGGGTTGTTACACCTACACAGAGGGCCCTAGATAGGAACATTGAGGAGGAGAGAGGTACTGCTCTGGGAAGGAGGATGAGAGGTGAGTGGATGGAATCTGGCAGAAGAGTGGAGGAAGTGTCTTTCTAGATGTCAGAATCTACCCTTAAATCTCTGTCCAAAATTGAAATCCATTTTTCATTTCTATAACCTCAGAACCAAGGGCAAAAAAGAGAGAAGACACTGGGGACCTTGGAAAGTAGCTAACACCCTCCTCACCTGGATGGACAGGAAGCCTGGTGCTTAGCTTTGCTTGCAGTGACTACCTATTTTCTTTCTTTTTTTAGACTTTTAACAGAGTGCTAAAGAGGAAAATGAAGGGAAGTCAAAAGAAACATCTCATATCCCTCCTTTAGTAAATGGGTTCATCTACAGAACCATTAGGATTATTCAGTTTTTCAATTTCTGTTTGTTAGTACCTCTACAGTCCCCCTACAACTCCACCTACTCTAACATAATATCCCTGAGAACTCCCATTGTGCCTGTACATCGACATTCGAGCCATAAAATGAATCTTATCCCCACCGAGAGGCTCAAGAACAGTTAGGCGGCATCCGTTTGAGAGTGAAGACAACGTTGGCAAAGAAGATCAGAGCCTTGACGTCTTTGTACCCAGGTGCTCCCGATGAAGTTTGTGAGCAACATGTTGTGGGTGACCAACTGCAGTTGAGCCTTAGAAGTACAGGGTCAGTTTAGAATTACATTTTCCCCCTATGTTCTTGGGTGGAAGGGGACTGGCATAAATAAATAGAACTGTTCTGCTGAGAATTATGCTCTGCTGAATCAATTTCAATCATGCCTCTGAAAACAACTCAGTTTTAAATTCCCTACCACTGTCTGAGAAGCCTGGCGACAATTCTTTTGCTGTCCCTTCAGGAATAGCAATTGCTGTCTCTCCTAACACTTAGGTTAGGTATGCAAAAACCGTACGAGCTTAAACACATTCAACTCTCCATCCCAAGGAAGGCAGTAGTAGTGGTGGTAATCATTCTTCACTATTAGTTCAGCTGTTACTTTCACCATCAATACCACAGCCCCCATTTACTGAGTGCCTTCTGGATGTCAGACGCAGCACTAAGCTCTTCACGTTCATTATCTTATTCACAAAAACCTTGGGGGTAGGCAGTATACCTGCCTGCATTTTACAGATGAAGAAACTAAGGGGTAGGGAAGTTAAATAACTTATCCAAGGTCCCACAGCCTGTAAGATGCAGAGCAGGGAACCAAATCCAGATCTGACTCTAGAGCTACTTTAGGCCAGAAAGATCTGCTTATGCTTTGCTCAAACTCTACCCAGAAAGAGAAAGCTATACCCAGGAAAGATGCTGAAGCCTCACCACGCCCATGTCAGAACTACGTTGACAGCAATAAGCACACCCATGGTAGTGGCAGACACGGGTGAGTGAGCACTTCCATTCTGCCAGACGCTGGGCTAAGTGGTTTACATACATTACTGCCTTGCATCGTCACAAGCCTATGAGGTCGGTTCTATTATCATCATCTTGCAGAGGCAGAAATTAATGTTCAGAGAGGTCAAATCATTTACCCCAGGGCACCCATTAGGCAATGGCAGAACTGGTTTTCAAACTAAGCTCCAACTCCATAACTCATGCTCTTAATTCCTATCCTATATGGTCTCACCAGGCAGTATAAACCAACTAGCCTATAATTGTTTCTGAGAGATAGAAACCTGGCACATAAAGGATCAGTCTCACAACCCCTTCTGGAGGGCCTGACACTGTCAAAGACTGCAGCATTTGTTTTATGCGTTGCATATGGCCTCATGTCCAAGAGGATCACCCCAGGCACTTTGTGGGTCTTTGACAGGATTCTGACTAAGGCTCAGCTTATTAGTCATGGAGCTGGAAGGAACCTTACACCTCTAGTCCAACCCCAGTTGTTATACAGATTAGGAATTTGGTACAGAAAGGTTAAGTGACTTGCCCATGACTGTAGAGCGATCACTGACAGACATGCTCCTAAAATCCAGATCTCCTGCATGCCCAAGCCAGTTTGCTATCTTCCATGCCCCAATGTACTACACCCTCTCTGGGGCTTCTCTGGCCACTCTTGACCCACCTACTTTCCTCCAATTTGCCCAATAAATATCACTGGAGAATTCTGCTGACAATCATTCTCACCCAGGGACGCAGCAAATACCTCTACTGAAGAACAGTTTTATCAGGCAGGAGACTATAATTCAACAAACCAAGGTTCTTCAGAAAATTGGACCACCCACATTTCTCTATATGGCATGTATGTCTATGAGGCAGGCATACTTTCTCAGCCAAGAGAGAAGGAAAAGTATGGCTAAAAGGGTGTGGGAATGCTATCTATGAATATGGGCAGGGTGGAGAATTTAGGTTGAAACGACCTCTGACAAAACTGAATTTCAGTATATTGGCATACTTCCCTTTGTACAATATATGTGTTCCTGGGTGTCAACCAAATTTTCCTACATAAAATCTATCAACCAAAATTATTTAAAGAGGGCTTCCCTGGTGGCAGAATGGTTAAGAATCCGCCTGCCAATGTAGGGGACACAAGTTCCAGCCCTGGTCCGGGAAGATCCCACATGCTGTGGAGCAACTAAGCCTGTGTGCCACAACCACTGAGCCTGCACTCTAGAGCCCACGAGCCACAATTACTGAACCCTGCGTGCTACAACTACTGAAGCCCACACGCCTAGAGCCCATGCTCTGTAACGAGAAGCCACCACAATGAGAAGCCCACGCACCTCAACGAAGAGTAGCCCCCGCTCGCCACAACTCAAGAAAGCCCACAGGCAGCAATGAAGACCCAACGCAGCAATCAATCAATCAATAATAAAATGAATAAATAATAAAATGATTAATAAATAAAAATTTAAAGAATACCCCCCAATACAGCCAGCATACTCTTATTTAACATCTTTACTGAAGTATAATTGCTTTACAATGTTTAGTTGCTGCTGTATAACAAAGTGAATCAGCTATATGTATACATATATCCCCATATCCCCTCCCTCTTCTGTCTCCCTCCCACCCTCCCCATCCCACCCCTCCAGGTGGTCACAAAGGACCGAGCTGATCTCCCTGTGCAATGCGGCTGCTTCCCATTAGCTATCTACTTTACATTTGGTAGAGTATGTATGTCAACGCTATTCTCTCACTTCGTCCCAGTTTACCCTTCCCCCTTCCTGTGTCAAGTGCATTCTCTACATCTGTGTCTTTATTCCTATCCTGCCCCTAGGTTCTTCAGAACCATTTTTTTCCCTTAGATTCCATATATATGTTTTAGCATATGGTATTTGTTTTTCTCTTCCTGACTTACTTCACTCTGTATGACAGACTCTAGGTCCATCCACCTCACTACAAATAACTCAATTTCATTTCTTTTTATGGCTGAGTAATATTCCACTGTACAATGTGCCACACCTTCCTTATTCATTCATCTGTTGATGGACACTTAGGTTGCTTCCATGTCCTGGCTATTGTAAACAGTCCTGCAAAGAACACTGTGGTACATGACTCTTTTTGAATTGTGGTTTCTCAGGGTATATGCCCAGGAGCGGGATTCCTGGGTCATATGGTAGTTCTATTTGTAGCTTCTTAAGGAACCTCCATACTGTTCTCCATTGTGGCTGTATCAATTTACATTCCCACCAACAGTGCAAGAGGGTTCCCTTTTCTCCACACCCTCTCCAGCATTTATTGTTTCTAGATTTTTTGATGATGGCCATTCGGACCAGTGTGAGGTGATACCTGACTGTAGTTTTGATTTGCATTTCTCTAATGATTAGTGATGTTGAGCATTCTTTCATGTGTTTGTTGGCAGTCTGCATATCTTCTTTGGAGAAATGTCTACTTAGGTCTTCTGCCCATTTTTGGATTGGGCTGTTTGTTTTTTTGATATTGAGCTGCATGAGCTGCTTGTAAATTTTGGAGATTAATCCTCTGTCAGCTGCTTCATTTGCAAATATTTTCTCTCATTCTGAGGGTTGTCTTTTGGTCTTGTTTATGGTTTCCTTTGCTGTGCAAAAGCTTTGAAGTTTCATTAGGTCCCATTTGTTTATTTTTGTTTTTATTTCCATTTCTCTAGGAGGTGGGTCAAAAGGATCTTCCTGTGATTTATGTCATAGAGTGTTCTGCCTATGTTTTCCTCTGAGAGTTTTATAGTGTCTGGCCTTACACTTAGGTCTCTAATCCATTTTGAGTTTATTTTTGTGTATGGTGTTAGGGAGTGTTCTAATTTCATTCTTTTACATGTAGCTGTCCAGTTTTCCCAGCACCACTTATTGAAGAGGCTTTCTTTTCTCCACTGTATACTCTAGCCTCCTTTATCAAAGATAAGGTGACCAAAGGTGCATGGGTTTATCTCTGGGCTTTCTATCCTGTTTCATTGATCTATATTTCTGTTTTTGTGACAGTACCATACTGTCTTGATTACTGTAGCTTGTAGTATAGTCTTAAGTCCAGGAGCCTGATTCCTCCGGCTCCGTTTTTCTTTCTCAAGATTGCTTTGGCTATTCGGGGTCTTTTGTGTTTCCATACAAATTGTGAACTTTTTTGTTCTAGTTCTGTGAAAAATGCCATAGGTGGTTTGATGGGAATTGCATTGAATCTATAGT